AGAATTATTTTATTTAACTTTATTATTATTTTCTAGTTTGATCAGAGAGAGTGGGAAGGAAAGTGAGAAAGCCAGCCACCAGGTCTGAGACTTGAACTATGGTTGGCCAGGTGTGAGTCCAGTGCCTTTAAGTAGCATGCCACATGCCGGCCCCAAGACTTTTTATTTTGATTTATTGTTTTGTTTTGCTTTGTTGTATTGTTTTATAAGGTATCTTCTGCCTCTGTTCCTCCCCCTGCCCCCCCCATACACACAAATTCTTGGGCTCCAGTGATCCTTGTGCCCATTACACAGCTGGAGGTGAGTTGTCTTGCATTTAGTGGGAGGTGATAAGCATCAGAAGGAACTGAAGAAGTTTTAACTTCCAGGAGGCCAGCCAGCCACTAAGGCCTGAAAATTTCTGCTCAGTATTGAAAATTAAGCCCTCGTTTGGTGTTCTAAAATCATCTGGGTGGATCCAACTTTGTTATAATTTCTTTAAAATGGCATGCTGCATTTATTTAAATTTGCAGTCAAGGAAGCAAGAAATGACATAGCTGTCTCAGTGATAAAATAATAATGATAGCACATAAAGCAAGATTCCTTAAAATCTCAAAAGAATAAACAAAAACACTAAAAATGCCCCAACACTCCAAACTTTTTAAAAAATTTTCCAAGTCTTGACTTGGTTACCAAGCATCGTGGCTGTGATCAGCATGACCTAGGAAGGGGATGGTGGAAGCTCTGTTTGAATTCCAAGCAAACCACACACACACACAGAGTAGGCAACTCAGGAGAAATTAGCTCAGAGAAATGACCCTCCAAGGGAGGTATATTGGACTCCGTACCTTGTAGTCAGATCCTGGTCTACTGTAGGGACCCCTCAAAAATACTCAATATCTTGGTCCTACTTATTGCTTGCTTATTTCCCTAGATCTTTCCCAACATTGACTTTTTTTTTTTTTTCACCAGCTTGGAAAGGGAACCATCCCTTCTGTTATGTTGTACTTATTTCCTCCAAGATCACTTCCACTAGAGGCTTTGCCAATATCTTCTACTCTGGAGCCATTGGTTCCATTTGGTCATGGATTTAAACAATAATGCCTATTGCTGGCTACAAAAAAGGCATGGGGAACCAACAGTTAGCGTAATGGCTATGTCACTGGACTCCCATATAGTCGACTGCGGTTCGAGTCCCGGACTTGGTGGCTTAAACTCACGCTGGGTGTGTCTGCGTGCGTGCCCAAGATCCCGAGAGGAGAATGGAGAAGAAGGGATTGCGGCATGGCCATCCCCCCTGGGGGGTGATTTCTCACTTTCTGTCTCTCTGTCTTTCTGGCGAGTGCACACTCCCTATAGCAAAAACCTCTCCAAAAAAAGAAAAAAACAAAAAGGCATGGGAATTGACGTGTTTTTCAAAGAGAGGTCATTGAGAACCATGCTGTTAATGGCCCATTGTATCTCATAGAACTTTCCTTTAGAGACTGGATGGAGGCAACAATCTCTAACAGATGCGTCATTAGGCAAGACCTACATCTGAAAGCTTTGTTGATTCAGACACTCAGTAATTAAGTTGTGGGCCAGCAAGCACAATATCTGCAATCAAACATGTCCCTGCTCAGCGATTAGATGGGTAAACATGTGACCTCATTGTCTCCACTGAAGAACGATTATGTAACAGTCTCTGGTCCTTGGATATCATGGTTGTTTGCCAATTCTTGATCCCAGTAAGTAAACTAAAATCATTTGCTGTGGTTCCGAGAATCAAAATTTTAGGACA